GCCTGAATAAAATCCACATCTAAATTATCTCTGTAAAGTATTTTCATCACATTTTAATATTCAAGCACTGCATTTCGATGCACTCGGAGTTCATGAGTTCAAGCGGACGAATGGTAATAAGAAAAAATAAAACAAAGTGGCGAAAACGTTGATGTTGAAAAACTGCGTGCGATGCGCGACTCGGGCGGAATACGGAATAAGTCGTTGCGACAAAATAGTTATTGTTCGCTGTGCGCCCTCCGAGATAAATCACGAAATTGTTTTTGCGCGCATATTTCATCCGCCTTATTATTATGTAGGTACTAGTTTATTATTATTGCTGAAAGCTCTACGAGCGCATTCGTCGGGTTCTTAGTGAACAATGAACAATCGTAAAATATCGTTTACTATTATAGTGATTTCTTCTAGGCGAATAAATTTTATGCTATGGACGTTTATGAACATTGTACACACAATATATTTTCGCCCACTATTTATTTTAATACTTAAGTTATTATTTTAATCATAATGCGGGTAATTTTATGATAATAAGCAATGTGAAAAAGTTGTAGGTTATGAGTTGTAGGCTAGTTTCAACTCTTGTTCTTGAAAACTGGATTAAAGTTTGTGTTCGAGTTGTTAGTGAATGCAAGTACAAGTACAAGTAGTAATGCAAGTTGTTTTTTGAATCGATCTTCATGAAACTAAAGCAAAGTCCGTAATCTTGCAGAGAGGAAAGTTTTCGTTTGTGATGGTTTTGTTTCATGATGTTAAATGACAAGTTATAAACAAGTCACGTATTATTTATGAAATCTTATTTATTATTCATAATAAAAAGGTAATAAAATTATTCTTTCATAAAATTATGTCAATTTTGTTTTATTGTGTTAATAATATTAAAATTTAAAGATTTTTTTCTACTTTCATCTATAAAACGCCGTTTTTCACAGTTTCAAGACACACAAAGTGATATTTTACACACGTATGACCAAAGTCGTGACTAAAGTACTTTAGTCATGGGCTTTAGTCACGAGGTTGATTTTTTTAATAAAATTTTTAAATTAATTTAATTTTGTGTGTAACTACTTTTAATTTACTCTAATAAAATTAAAAAAAATAATAATTTTACTAAAAAATGTTGTAAAAAACTTTTTAATTTATAAAAATCAAAAGTAAAACTTATTATTACTTATAATATTATGTGTTGAAATATTAATTATACACCTGCAAATGTAGTAGCATCACAGATAAAATTGAACATTGAAAAACTATACTTAAGTCATCCAGAACAACCCACAACACAACAAAAAATAAAACACAATTTGTGGTCAAGGTAGAAATTTAGATAAAGATTGTGATCAACCCATTCATAACTACGCTGAGACAGTAAAGTTACTGAAGTTTGAGGGCTGTAGGGCACCACGGCGCACAAAACAGCGTGATAGTTAAATAACTACTCACATGGGTGTGTGTAATTTATAGCATAATTATTAGTGTCACTATAAATATACCACAACAAGACTTATAGAAGAATGTACGAATCACAACGCAATAATAAAGATATTAAATTACGTCCATGGTTACTCTTACTTGTTTAAACTACAAAAAATAATAAAACGACAACTTGACAGGTAAATTACCTTAAAGGGCAACAAAAGAATATATATTATTATAATTTCAATCTGTCATAAATTATTAAATTGTTTTTCTTAAAGTAAATATAAGTTTAACATAAAATATTTATTTCTACTTTTTTTTATTATCATGTTGAGGTTTTAGTGTTTCAACTTTTGTATTTTAACTTCACCCCGTGACTAAAGCCCGTGATTAAAGTACTTTAGTCACGACTTTCGTCACCCGTGCGTAAAGTATCACTTTTTATATCTCAAAATCGTGGAAACAGGTGGAAGTACAAAAAATAATATTTTATGTTGTAATAAGTAAATAATTCTGGTAATAATTCTCGTAGTAAAATGAAAATGTGAATTTCCCAGAGCGTTTATCAACCATGCATAAATCATGCGCGTAAAATAAACAACAGAACAGTACGCAACTCCTGAAACCAATATTCAGTTATTATTGCTTATTGCAAGATTGCAATAGATTTTCCGACTGTCCCAACGCTGTCCGGCAATACATTTTCATTCGCCAGCGCCGAGCACTTAGCGAGGCTCGCAGTGCGCTTGTGTAAACAATACCCCGCACGCAAAAAACAGGCCCCAGCTCTACGACCTGGCCATACCACTGCGATAGCGATTGTCAACGGCGGACATTTCCACGTGCATTGCGAATATCTTTGTGCATTCGTTAGTCGGACACAACAATGCGAAATGCAGACGAGGGTCGCGTCCGTGTGCCCGCCAAGTAAATAATAATAATGCGGGCGAGGCTGAAAGCGGCTTCTATAAAGGGATGATTTACATAACTTCCTGGAATACGACAATGAAAACTGGCAGCGACTTTATTCGTCTAATAAAATTACCTATGACGCATGAAGTAGAGGTTAAGTAATTTGCACATGCGCAGTACACACATGGGCGGAGCTTAAATATTTTAAAATTGACTTAATAATAAAAAATTTATATTTTTTGTCATTTTTTATTTAGTTTTATATTAAGTCTAATAAAATTACTTAATACGCATGCGTATATAGTTAAGTAAATTGCGCATGCGCGGTAAAAATATGGGCGGAGCTCTCAAACCTTCAAAAAAGATTATTAATAATAAAATCTAAATAATATTTATTCCTATAGTCATTTTTTTATATTCAGCAGGGATATTATTATGTCTCATTGCTTTGTCATACATTCTCATAGAGAGATTTTCGCTTTTGTCGAGGGAGTATTATAACTTTTTGCATGTGCGAAACGCACATATAAGGGATGTAAGTTTTTATTTGATTTTATTGTTATGACACGCTCGGCAATCGCCGAACAAGCACATAACACGCGTACATTATACATTTATCAGTCGCGTTCACATTTTTTCTCGCTTCCCCCTCGCTTCCCTCCGCCACCCCCCAAAAAGTTAAACTTTCTCGGGGACTTTCTCTCAACCACTTCTTCGCATTCTTGTCACTTGTTTTGTTCCTACGGCGTCGCCGGCGATTCTTTCTCGTTTAACAAATATTATTTATTTTACTACTATCATACAGTGTGTTTAAAGTGTGTTTATGATAGTTTAAGTTAAGTAATAGTTTGTTTTAGTTAGTGACACACTGTATACAGATGAATATATGAGGGGTATGTGCAACAAAACAATTCAATAAAACGGCGATTTTTAAGTTTATCTCTTCGCGCGGCGCTTTTTTATGCCCGGATGCTGCGCGGCGATAGTTCCGAATGGTCGAAGCGTAAAAAATATAGCAAATTGAGGGAGCGAGACGCCGAAAATATCGGAATTGCTGTGCGGGACACTAGAATCACAGAAAATGGGAAATGAAAATGAAAAACTGATCACTTATCTCGCATGCAGTTTTGATCGGCGGCGATAAATCAAAAATCGAGTGTCGCCCACGCACGCAGGACCATGAATGTTGATTTGGCGCTGCGCGAGCCACTATAAAACACTCGCTGATAAAAAACTATATAAATAAATTAAGTTTATCGGCGTATAAAATGAGTTTATTGGTCAATAAGTCAAAATTTAATGGAATTAATGCGGATAATGCAAACCACGCACAAAACCTAACCTCAGTCAAAATGGCGTCCCCCGGTTTGATATTCGAGCCGATCGAGTAAATTAGTTGATAGGTACAACTAAATCAAACTGCAATAAGTTTAATTATTGTTTCATTACGCTTCGATTTATTTGCGTTTGCCTATGGTGGTCAAACATGACGAGCTGGACGCACAGTGTGTTAACAACAACAATTGCTAACAATTCCCGGCGCGGGACGCGGCACTAATAACGCTTTTATGCGTATTCGTTCGTTTCAAGTTTAAAATTACAAATGCGGTGTGGCGTGCGCGCGACGCCGCGGGTCACGCGCGCGCGATGCATTGTTAAACCGCAAACGGAAGCCCCCGGAAGAGCATGGACGCCTAATACAAATATTCCCGTTTCGAAATTTTGCTATTTAACTACTAACCAAATACGAAAAGTGCACGAGAGAGGTTATGTAATGCATCATGCACTCTACTCAAACACACACACATAGAGAATTTTTAGGTTATGATCAAATTTTCATGAATATAGATTTCTATGGTCACAGTATAATCTTGCTACTTCAGCAAAGGTAATAACGCTAGTTTTGGACGATTTGGAGATTTTGGGGTTAGAATCGTTTGAATGTATTAGGGGTTGACTGTCATTGCTACTGGCAACGGCAACGGCAATGATGTTTCCATGTTAATTGTAATAGCCGCCACAATATTACCCATTATCATATGAAATAGCCTCTAATATCCGTTACGGAGTGGAGTGGTGAGCGTCAGTTTCACGTACGAGAAGGTCATTGAGTCAATTATCTCCACCACACTATCGCAGGAATGTGTTTGTTTATGTTCAACTTTTGAAAACCTCGAAATTTGCTTTGTTTATATCCGCGAGATCTAAATTAAATTAGTTTGTCAGTTTAGGGAAAGCCTCTGCGAGTCGGACAGTGGATAATATTCGATAAGCGAGATAAATATTCAACAGTTTCAGCGACAATCCGCTGAATTTCACCTGAAAACAGGCAACCCACAATGCAAACTTGCTAATCAAGCAGTTGGTGATGTTGTGTTACAAATAAAAGAACAATTACAATAGTTTTACTAGTTACAGTTACTTACATTCTTACTTACTTACTTACATTCGCACTTGAAGATGACTTGTTTTGATGAATATTGATATGTTGCACTGTATTGTTTTTAACTTGGTTTTCGACTGCACGCGGTAAGTAAAACTGTGTAACCTCGTCGTACGGCTTCGGCGTTGGTCGTTTGCGCGCGGAGCTATTGGCCGGGGCGGGCGTCTCTCCGGGCGCGCTGCGTGCGAGTCTCGTCTCTCCGGAATCGCGCCAGTGGATGTTTGTCCGCGTTACGCCGAACGTCGCCGGGTTGCGTACACTCGCACGTTCTTCTCACGCGTTATCCCGCGAAAATACAAAAATAACCACCAAAAACACGCATCGAAAAAAGGTAAATAAACACGTTTACAACACAAGTAAAGTGATTGTTTCTCCTAAATAAATCAATGTGCAGTGTTGCAGTGTAAAATTTAAATCAAACATTTATAAACAGAATTTATAATTATAATAACTTTGGTGTTGAAAAGTAAGTACAAATGTGTTAAAGTGATAGTGACAAGTAAAGATCAACGATGAATTATTCGTGCAGTAAGATGTTTGGAAAACTAATCGTGTTTGCTGAACAAAAATAAAAACGAGAAAAAATCACGTTAACTTTACTGTAACTCTCGCGGTGGTTTTCACTCGTTCGCTATTCCATCGTTTGTTGTTGTGGGGCGTTGTTTTTTTTGCATTTGCGGTGTGAAGAGTGAAAAAGGCGCTTTCGGGCGTCGCAAACTTTGCGAATAATGTCCGAACAGACTTTTAACAAGATGAAGATTAACGCTGCGCGTAACAAAAGTTGCCTAAACCGCAGCAGCGGCAACTGTAGTTACAAAAACGCTCGCCAGGATTTCAGTGCTTCGTCAGTGCAAATGTTGAAAATGTTTATGCTGGTGCTGGTGTTTTGTGCATCATGTGCACACGGAAAAATCGAGGATGAACCTGGTAAGTTCTTTGGAAATGATTAAAAAACGATTAAAATTTCACATTCAAACGTGAAATATTCATACAAGTCGTTGCGGTATGAAATTTTCCGAAGGGAAAGATAATAATCCAAGGCGGGACTGGCTATACGAGGATAAAGTGGAGCTGAGTGGATGTAAACGTGGCGCAAATGTTGGGAAAATAGTAAATTCTCAACGCGCTCCCTCTCGACGCGTTTAAACTTCTCATTTTCATTTGAACTGTGACTGTGAGTTCGTGAAACTGGAAATGACAATGGTGGAAAAGTTTCACGCAGCGAGAGTTTTCGCGGTGGTAGTGATTCCACTTTGATTCCAGACGATGCAAAGTTATTCGCAATTGTTGAGTTTTCATGTCAATTATCATAATTGAAATTGTAGCGCATGAAACAAAAAGTTTGCAAAGAAAACTCTTAGCTTGAATTACGAATTACCTTCATGGTCGTTTATTTAATGGTCTCCACTAGCAATAGACATCTTGCAAACGGCATCTCGAGTATCTCCTTGTGGTTTCGCTAAAATATGCATTCGTACATTCGATTCGGCGGTAAATTTGCGTCTGGTTCTCGTTCTCGTAAAACTGGAAGACCATTATTGCAACATGCAGCCAACCACCAGCATTTCTGGATGCAGTTAAGTGTGGTCGGGTTTAAAATGCAAAGTGCACTTCTGGTTAAACGTTTCGCTCTCCTTGTTTCTGCAAGGTATAAACAAGCGCGTCAAAATTGCAATAACAGCTATTACTGCAAACGCGTCTACAAGTGCTGAAATACCACCAGCACAACCAGCGGATATTGATTTCTGTAATTATTCGGTCTTGTTAAATTGTGAAAAATTAGTAGGCACTTTTGACATTTATGACTGAAATAAAAAGTCGTAAAATTACCTTCTCAACTTGATGTTGTCATCAATTATATGCCGTAACTGTTATGACTTGTTTGTTTTCGCGGCGCGGATCGAGGGCTAGCCGTGTAATTTGCGAATTCTCCAGTTTCCGAAAGAATCAAAAGTGGAAAATTACAGGCAGAGGAAAAGAAAACGCGCGCATGAGTAAATATCCCGGCTTTGCGAAAGTTAATGAGATTAAAAGCGAACTCGCTGCTTCCAAGTGTGCTCCACGGCTTCCATCATCAAACTCCTCTTTCTGGGAGGGCAGAAACAATAAATATGACGGCAGGTTGAAGCAATCGAGCAATGTAATTACTGTTTTTCGGTGAATTCAGGCATGAAATCAACACAACAAGATTTAAATACGTTTTATTCGGACAAACAAACCAAAAAAAGAAAAACAATAAAATTTAATAATAAGATTTTTATCTTTGGTTAGATTAATATCTAATATGATTTATTTTTGCTTGTAATTTATGCGTTACTAGGCCAAGTGGGTATTTGCCCAGCCCACGTTCAATGCTAATTCGTGTTAACACCAAACACTTGTCGGTTATGCTCGAATTTATCGTCGAAGCACTTGGTGCAAGGTGCATACACACTGCGCACATATGTAGGCACCAAGTGCAGTTGCAATATTCACTGTTATTTCGGAACTAGACTACACTTGCAACTTGGAATTTCAATTTGGAATGTGGCCAATGTATTACTACTAAATCAACATTCGAATCTTGATGAGATAATTATTATTATGTTGTTTTTTTTTTCTGTGGAAATTTTGGCTGCCTCATTATGTCTTAACGAATCAGCGTAATCTAAGCCACAGGGCAGAAAGCTTTTAGAATAATTTTCTATCCCGAAATGCGTGTTCCGGTTGATTTCCAGGCGGCTTCCAGTTTCAGCGTCGCGCAAAGTTTAAAATTATCGTGTCATCATTGTCGCTGGTGGAGGCGCGCCTCGCGGCGAACAAAAGCTTATTTTTCATGACAACGTACATGTTTTGTGAATTAGCTTATTTGCAAAGTTTCGCATGCTTCCTCTGCGCGCATTTTCGCCGGCTGCTTTTCACTCCGAAAATATTTAGTTTACATGTTTACTTAATCTGGTTTTATTCGCGCTGTAAAAGTTAATATTATATTATGTATTTATTTTTCGGTATTAAATTGTCACACGTGAGGATGTTGAAAGACCTTCCCGGGGAGTTTTCCCAAGGATAAGTAAAAGACGACTTTGTCCTTTTGTCGGCGAGACGTGCCCAGAGCGCGATGCGGACGTCGATACGACATCGCTTCGCTTTCGATCCTTTCGGGGTCCTTTAGCGGCGACTATTAGGTTATCCGAAAACCTTCCAAACTCGTCGGAACCTTCACGACTTTCACGTACGCTTGATCGACGACCAGGACGTTTTAAAAGGACAACGTGTCTTGTCCGAAACTTTTTTCTATTTATTTAAACAGAAAAATTTATTTTTAACGAAAAAAAATTTTCTTTTACTAATTAATATAAAATTGACGCTGGAAAAAAGTTCGTGTTTCAATAAAGTCAATAAGTTCGGATTAATAACGACGGCGTGAACGAGTCGAGGAGTCTTTGGTGTCGGGGTGTCGATGTCGGCGTTTCGGAAAAACTTTACGAACGCGAAATGAAAAATTCTTAGTGGAAACTTTCGCGCGCGCCTCAGTTTTCCGCACTTTCCACACATTGTTTCGGCCGGGTTCTTTTAGTTTACTCCCTTTTCGTATAAATCATATATTTTTAAGTTTTTCAAAATCACGGAGAACTTGGCGGAAACTTAACGCGCGCAAAGTTATTCTTTATTAGTTCATTGTTGAGTTTTCCAAGTTAGTAACTTAAAAAAACAAATTTTAATGTAAACCAAATTATAATTTAAATATTTAATTTTATCGATTGTAAAATTATTTATTTATGATATCGTATTCTAATCGCCACATCGTATTTCAATTAACTTAAAATATTCATCTATATCCTCCAGGAGTCGAGTTATGGGACCAACAGTAGGAATATTAGGTATTGCTGACAGTCCGAACGGCTGCTCGTGCCCCAATCATCGTTCAGGATATCGGCGTGCGAGAAAAGTGTCTCGTTTGCGTCGGCTTCGATTCCCCGAAGCGCGGAAAGCAATTTGCATATTGATTACGAGCCATATTCAGGCTGCTGTTTTACTTTTCCGCTCTCAGGAAAGAATAACTGAAACACTCGCCGGCAAGAACTCACAATAAAAGTGCTTTAATAATTTAAGCGGCTTAAAATTTTCACTCAAAACTCGGAAATAAAACAACTCGTAATAACAGCCCAGTTTGCTTACGTTGAATTATTCTCTAAGGTTTTTTTTAAGTCCTGAAAAGAGTCGAAAATGTGGAGGAAAGTTGCTTGGAGTTTGCTTTTATTTCTTTATTTTCTCTACTCTTTGAGCTCTTTGCATCTAATCTTGTAGCGACGTCTTGTTCGCGACTGCTCGCTGTACAAATGTGTCGAATATTGCGCACGGCTCATTTACTTTCCTGAAAGCTAGACGAGACTCCTAGGAGGGATGTTGGGGGTTACTTCTTTGGTGTGCCTTCTGTTTTCTTCGCCTCGCTGGGCTGCACTGCGCCTGGGGTTGCGTCGACATTTCGGCGGTTTCAGAGCCTCCAAACCACCGGCATGCTGATATATTGTTATTTTCCTATTTCTTTATTTCTCATTCGGCGCGTTCGAGGTTTGAGTTTCGGAGTTTCGCGCGAGTAACATGTTGGGAACACGGCTCCGGACGGAATACGGTAATAAAGGCCGAGGTCTAATGTGTTTTCGGTACAGTGCATCGCGGAAAGAAAACGTACGCGTCGAACCAAGACTTTAAAATCACACATTGTGCGAAAAGAACGTATTTTAGACACTTGGACACAAAGTAGTGCAAAAAAATTAAAATTTTAGTCATTATTTTGGTTGATTTTTGAATTTTTATGAAAAGAATTCTCTTAAAAGGTATTTTAGACACTAGTGTAAAAAGTAGTGCAAAAAATTACCGTTTTATGCACTTGAGCAAAAAAAAAATTAATTAATTTTGTGTATTTTTGAATACTTTAAGAAAAAAATGTATTTTAAACACTAGAGCAAAAAGTAGTGTAAAAAATCATCATTTTATGCACTTGTGCAAAAAAATTTAAATTATTTTTGTTGATTTTCAAACTTTCAAGAAAAAACGCCTCCTAAATATCCTGTGTTTAGGTTGTGTTGATGTTGGTGATGATGTAAGCGTCAAAAAAGAAGGATTTCGTCGGCGGGGAATATGTTTGGTTTCGCAACAGGCTTAAACACACCGCGGCGCCGGGCGATGTTTGCTCGAATAACACGCCCTCGCATACTTTCGTTCTCTTCATGCAAACACACACATATGGGGGTGGCGCGACGCGTGAACCTGTGAAATGTTTTTATCCGCCGCCCTCGTGTGCGCATATCAAAAAATCACCATTTCGAGTCAAACAGATCATGATCTATCCATAAACGCAAAATGAAGAGTTTTTTTTTCTTTCTTCTCCTGCTTCAGTCTCGGCTTGTGTTTGCTTTGAGCGCAGCTTAAAACTTTGTGTGTTGTTTTTCCAGCACCTAAAATTGAATTATTTATACGTCGACTCGAATTAGTCATGAATGTTGTTTTGGCTTCCGTAACGATTCCTTAAACTCGGACATAATTTACCACTTGACTGGATCCACAATGTGTTTGTTATTCGCCGGAATGCGGCGCGTTGCGTGCGCTCATAACGCAGTAGTTGCGAGCGTAAATGCCCGCCGAATTGGTTAATAAATTACCGTTTGTGAGCACGCGCCGGAATTCGTCCGGCGTGTTGCGTTTGAAGTCATTTATCAAAAAATACGCGCGCTGAGGCTTTACGAACGAACGCACAAAAATGCCAAACATTGGATAAATAGACGCAAGCCGAAAACAGCTTAAGATGTGTCTATAAATAAAAATAACTTGAAAAAGATCAAAAGGCAACATTGAAAATATTAACAAGTCAATAAAGTAAATAGTACAGTATTGAGGTTATGTTGATACAGATAGTGAATAATTAAGGTTATGTATTATGTTAGTTT